GGCTTGGCTTCGCCCATTCCCGCCTGTCGACGCGAAGATTCTTGCAGCTGCAGTGTGCCGGACGTTAACCTTTTGGGGGAGTCGACGCCTGGCGACGGTTCGGCAGGGGGAGCGAGCGACGACGCCGATGGTGTTGGCAGCTTGTGGCTCCCTCCGCATCATGAGGGCATCCCCGCCGCTGGGCTTCGATCCCGCGTCGAGGGAAAATCGTTGGTGAGCGGATCGCAAACCAACGCCCGGCTGACCATTGGAGTTAGGCAACCCGCGACGGTCTGGTGAGGGAGGAGGACGACGGCGACGGTGGCAGCTGGGCTGCCTTCGCTCGGAAGTCGCTCCCTCTGTCATGCCGACTTTTGCGTAAAACCCCTCTCATTTATCTCTCTCCACCTCTCCCGCTCTCTTTCAGCCCTCTCATAGCCCTCTCCCCGCCTCTCATTATCTCTCCACCCTTACTACGCGCCGCCCTCTTCTGTGGTCCCTCTCCCGCCTCTCCTCGACCCTCTCCAGCCTCTCAATTCTCTCCTCTCCACCCTCTTCCGTGGCCCTCTCACCGCGCTTTCCAAATGCCCCTCTCCCGCCTCTCATTCTCTCTGCTCCACTCTCTCATTCTCTCTTTCAGCCCTTTCCTTCAGCCCTCTCCAGCCTCCCATTCCCTCTCTCTCCACCTCTCGCCTCTCCTGCTTGTCCTTCTCCCTCTCATCTCTCTCCCTCTCCCTCTCCTGCCTCTCAACCTCCCTCACAGTCATGTTCCCAAGAAGAGCATGATCTTCAGAATTATGATCACCTCCACCGACATTATCCCCACAGATATCCTGCCTGTCCCTCTCCCTCTCATCTCTCTCCATCTCCCTCTCCTGCCTCTCAGCCTCCTTCTCAGCCCTGTTCCCAAGAAGAGCCTGACCTGCAGAATTATCACCTCCAGGAGGCGACGCTGCTGACGGTCGGGAGGGGGAGGAGGATGACGCCGACGGTGTGGAGCTGGTGGGCTCCTTGATTGTCCTGTATCCTAGGGCTTGGGCTTCGATTCCTGCGTCGACGGAAGATTCTGCAGCTGAGTGTGCCGACCGGTTAACTTCGGGAGGAGTCGACGCCGCCGACGGTCGGGAGGGGGAGGAGGACAACGCCGATGGTGTGGAGCTTGTGGGCTCCTCGATCGTTAGGGATCCCCGGGCTTGGGCTTCGATTCCCGCGTCGACGGAAGATCGTGAGGCTGAGCGCACCAACGGGTTGACATGGGGAGTAGGCGACGCCGCCGACGGTCGGGAGGAGGAGGAGGACGACGGCGACAGTGGGTCGAAAGCGCTCCTCTTCCGAGCGACTTTTCGGTAAAACCGTCTGTCATTATCTCTCTCCACCCTCTACCGCTCTCTTTCAGCCCTCTCATAGGCCCTCTCCCGCCTCTCATTATCTCTCTCCACCCTCTCCTCCGCATTTTTTTGGGTGGTACCAATAATAGTACATTACAAAAAGAAAGTAGTTCAAAAAGCGAAAAAAATAACAAAAAAGAACTGGACAGATGACTTGCTGACTCTGTTGTGCTCTAACCCAACAAAATCTGGGCAGGCAGGATGAGCCCCGAGATACAAATTGTTCAAAGAAGAAAAAAAGAAAAGCTTTGAATTTAGGAACCTGACATATAGCGATTATTGGTCAAGAGATGTGGAGGATTTCTAGGGACTTTTGCTACACCTTCTCTGTACTGGCGGTAGCTTATTCAGTATAAACATGAGGATTCTTTCAAGAATATATCAGCTTGAACTAGAACTTGATGCGGGTACAAACCCGCCCTTTGAAAACATTGATCCAATAGAACCACTGGGTGTGGTTTCAGTTGACGGAATTCTGGAGGGAAAAGAATTGAATTCTGGACGTAGATCTGAAGATGATGATAATGGAGCTAAGGTGGCCAATGAATAGCCTACAGGGTAAGGAGCTACGGGCATGTCGGCAAGAGAAGATGCAGAAGGGCTGTAGCTAAGCATCCCCATCGGGTGATCGAATTTGCATGTTGGCCCGAATTTGCATACTCCGTGTTGAGCATAGAAGGCACAAGGCTGAGCTCCCTGTAAACAGGAAGAAATGTTTAGTAAGTTGACGTCTCTCGTTTGAAGAAGCAGAAAATTCTCTTGATTTTTCAACATCATAATGCAAGTTCAATGAAAGAAAATATTGATAATCACGCAGACGGTAGTTTCTCAAGACATCTTATGCACAAGCTTACTAAACAAGAATGTACACGTTCAAGCTTTTGATGGTATACAAATTAATTATAAACTAACAAGGATCCGAAACTAAAACTGCATTTAAAGATACTAACGATCTAGACAGCATGAGAACAAGATCACATATTGTCAAATGCTTATCGAATAACAGCCATCACACACCAGCAGTGCAACATGCATATGCATGTATGCATATTCGCAAAGGCACGTACAAAGATGCATGTACTCATTCAGAATTTAACTGGACTTAATCTGTGCCTCCTTTTAATGTCAGGTTGTTAGTTATAAATAGCTCAGGCTTTAAGTTTCGCCTCTTTAACATGAGGGTAAGTTTCACAAACCCCCCCCCCCCACCCCCACCCCCACC